CTCTGATAGGGAAGAGTATTATATGTTTAGTCTATGGAAAAATCAACATATTAAGTTATTCGTGCTAGATGAAGATTTAGAAAGATATTATAGGAGCCCCTTGCCCTCCCACAACATATTTTCCCCACTGGCCTGAAGAAACACTTTCAGGTGACATGACAGGGAATATGAGTACAGATGCTCTTGGGGACTGAATGGCTTACAAACACCAGCTCTTTGCTTTGGCCTGTAGGTTAAAGCAGCCACCACCCATGTTCCTTAATGAATTATGTTGACTCTAACTGCCCTGCAGCAGAGCCAGCTGCTTCCCCGGCTAAGACAGTATCTCTGCCTAACACATACCAAGGGCAGGACAGGATTTTTTCAGAAACTGGTCTTGGAAGGTATGAAGAAGTCTGACAATTAAGTTCATGAACTCACCCTAGAAAAAGTGCTACATATCTTTTGAAGTACTCCCCTTGGGAAGCTATGCACCAATGCCAGCACCTAGTCTACCTGTCAAAGCAATTTTGGAACCCTTTTTCTGGAAAGGCCATCAGAGCTGTCATTGTGAGAATGTTGGAGCTTCAATTAGAGCTATTCTAAGCTCCTGGGATATGAGTGAATTAAACAGACATGATCATAGTTCTCATGGAGCTTATGATATTGAAAGGGAAACATACAAGTAAATAGGCAATTTGCATATAGGATGCTATCTGACAAGTGCAGGGTGCTGTGGGGATGTTTAGCTACTTACATCCAATAAGTGATTCTTTAGCATACTCAAGGGATAGGGTTAGGGTTAGGATTAGAGTTAGAGTTCGGGTTGGGGTTAGAGTTAGGGTTGGAGGCATTGCCCATTTCAGGCTTGCATGGTTCTAGAGAACTATACAGAGAAAGAGACAGCTGGAAGCTGAGGGGTCAGGTAGAACTTAGTCAATAGTCAGATGGGGAGAGAGGCTCCAAGCAAAAGATTAGCCTGTGACACCTGATGGAACAAAAGTCATTCAGGCAAGCCCAGAACGGTGAGTGGATATAAGAGAAGGTAAGAAGACAACAGAAGCCAGAACAGAAAGCAAATACTTCACCAGGCTAAGGAATTTGGACTTTCTCCTGAGATCACTATGGAGATGTTGAAGAGTTTAAAATAGGAGAGTAACCAGATCAGGTTTGCATTTAAGAAGGATCACTCCTGTTAAAATGTGAGAACTAGCCTGATGACAGGTAGCTTGAATGCCTTGGAAGCAGAAAGCAGCAGTTGCAATAATCTGAGAGACAGAAGGCAGTGTTCTGCTCTGAGGCAGTTGGAGAAGGAATGGAGTGGCTGGGGGAATGCTGTAATAGATATTGAAGATGGAGAATGACTGAGACTCCGGGACCAAGAAAAGGAGCCAACAGTGAGAGGGCAAAGACTGGCGTGCTGGTGACTGCCCTGAGTGATGGTGCTCTGGGTGAGTGATGGTTGTCATGCACTGAGCCAGGAACAGCAGGAGGAGCAGGGGAGGTATTCAGGGAAGAATCAGGTCTTTCTAGATACAGGCCGCTGGACACATGGGTCAGAACTAAAGCCAGGCTGAATAGACATTGGAGAGTGTCAGTAGAGATAGTGAAGAAGACACTGCCATGAATGGAATGCCTAGAGAGAGAAGGGAAAGTGAGGCACAGGCCAGGGACAAAATCCTGAGGATTAGCAACATTCAAGGAACAGGCTGCAGAAGAGTCTACAGAGGAGACTCGAAGGAGCTGCCAGAGAGAGAGGGAAAAAAACAAAACAGGAGAGCCAGGCCATGGAAGCAATGACAGAGCGCTTTCCCAGAGTCTCCAAGTGCCTGCCTGGCACACAGTAGGAGCCACAGGATGGGGAAGGCTGGGTGTCACAGGAAGCCAGATTGTGGGACAACACTGAAGCTATACCCAGCTACACTGTACTTCCCAAGGTGAGCCACACAGCTAGAGACACCCTGACACGAATGCTTTAGCGCCTATAGTGAAAACCCTTGGGAACTCATCGGCTGAGGCATGGAGCCTTCTCACTGTCCTTCCCCAAGGTGCAACCTCACCAACATAGGCCACACCTCTGAACAGTGAGAAGCAGCCTAGGATATCGTCCAGGGTTGCAACATGTTCTGGGAGAAGTCAGCACAGGTTGAACCACCTTGGACAAAAGTAGACTTCGTGGGCCAGTTCACTGATGAGAATGCTCCTGTCTTTGAGAGGCGGGAATTGGAAAGCTCCCCGACAAAGTTCTGGTGAACAGAACCTAGAGTGGGGGCAGGGAGTGAGACATGAGGAAGACTTGAGCTGGCTGGGAGATGTAATGATGCAGGTGGGCAGGGGGAGCATGGCAGAACTGATAGGGTCATCTTTCTCACCTCTTCCCAAGCCTCCTTCTTTGCCTTCTCCTCTCTCCCAGCTCCTTTGCCACTTTCCCTTTCCCTCTCCTCCCTCAGGGTTGGGCTTTTCAGAGTTTGTCTTGACAACCAGGGATCAGGAACACATGTGGGTGGGGTGGCCTGGAGTGGTGACAACTTCCAGAGTGGAGGGAAAATGGTCTCACGAAGATGGCAGAACCCTCAGACCACACCTCTCCAACGGAAAAGCCCATTTTAGCTCAGTGCTGGGCTGCAAGGAGAGACGGGAACAGCCCGTGGCTTCCCCCACAGTTTCTGCCAGCTCTGGCGAGGGCAGCTCTTTGGAAAGGGTTGACCACAGGACTCAGCAGCTTTCTCCGCCAGGCCCCCCGGACACAACCAGGCATCGCCAAGGCTGGGGGTTGCTCCATCCAGGCCTCTTAGGGGATTCTCTGGGCAGCACGACAGTGGAAACTGCCTGTTCTGCTTTTAGTATCTTCCCTTTTCTATCTGTGCTCTGGTTTCCTCCAGCACTGACAAGAATTTCAGCAGTCTTGCAGCCATGCTCTTGTATTTTCGTTATTCCAAAAAGTCTCAAGCTTCCAGAACTCTATGAAACAGGCAATAGAAGTCATTCCTTAAGCCACATGTGACTGTCAAATCCTATTAAGTCTTAGGTACTGGGGATGGACACAGCAGTGATCGAGTAGTCATGGTCCCTCCCTTAGCTGAAGGTAGAGTATGAAAATGGTCCTCATCTTCTGTATGGCCTGAACCCAACCTCACATTATGCCTGCCCAGCAGCAGAGACAGTGTGAGTCCATAGAGGCCAGCACGGTGGCCTGCACAACACATCAGTGTCTGAATTGCATCAAATGCAACTGTACTTCTCCTCAGAAGGTAACAGGCCCTCACTGGAGAGAGGGCCTATATAATCGATAATGAGCCTGAACATCCTTAATAAGAGAACCAGAGATGGAGTCCCAACAAACTTAACAAAGAAAATTTTGTCCCCATCCCTGGAAATTTACTGTCTGCAGTCTCAGGCCAAGTTGACAGATTCGGAAAATAGCAGTGACATAATTCACACTTTTTTTCCATCAAGCACAGAGCAGTCGTGGCACTCTGGCCTTTGCTTATGTTGTTCCCCTGCCTGGAATGCCCTCCTTTCTGCACTTTCTGTAACAAAAATTCTATGCAACTGAAGTATTTAGGGATGAAACAATATGATATCTGGGATTTGCTGGGGTCCTGCAAGATTTGAGGACAGGAGAGTGAGAAGAGGAGAGGAGAGAGTTGAAATAAAATTGGGCAATTAATAAAATATAATAGTGGGTACGTGAGCGTTCATCCCACTATTCTCTCTGTTTTGTGTATATATGGATATTTCTGAATGAAAAGATTTCTAAAAGTTCTATGCATCCACAAAGCCCCAGTCAATCCCAACTTATACATGAAGTTTTCCTGATGACTTCCCTCTCATGGATAAGCGCCTCCCTGGTCAAACTCCAATGTCATGACTAGTGTTATCCAAGATAGAACTGTGAATTAATTCTGCCATATATTATGTATTTTGTGTCATGGGTTTTCAATTACCCCTTTTAATTTCATGGCAGAAAGGAGAGGAGGAGAAAGCAACGAGCATTTAATCAGGACCCAGTATATGTAGAGGCTGAACTACGTGTTCCTCATATAGGTTGTATCCTATAGCACTTCCTTAGTACAAGGTTAGCTCATAATGTGTGTCTCATAAAATATATGTAAGAAAATATAGAGGCATCATTCACTAAACATCAGCATGACCACCTGGTGTATTAGTATGCAGCCATTAAAGATAAGAATTTCTAATGATACAGGGAAGGACTTATGTTCTCATGCTAAGTGAAAGAAATCTGGGGCACAAAATCATATGTATTGTACGATCTCAACCTATAAAAACTGTCTAGAAAAAAACTGGATATATATATATATATATACACACACACATACACATGTACATACATATTTCTGGGCAGGGAATTATTAGGGATTCTTTTTTCTTGTCTTTTTTAAAAATATGGCTTAATAATTATACATAACAGGAGTCAGCAAACTTTTTTCATAAAGGATCAGATAGCAAATATTTTCAGTTTTGGAAGCCATGCAGTCTGTCATATCTACTCAACTCTGCTGTTGCAGCATGAAAGCAACCAGAGACAATATATCAGCAGATGCGAATGACTGTATCCTAGGACAACTTTATTTACAGAAACAGGCAGTGGGCTGAATTTGTCTCATTACCAGCCACTGTTTTCTAGCCTCTGATATATTATGTTATAACCAGAAAAAAAATGTTATTTAAGTAAGCATTCTTTGACTGGAAGATCTTGGTACTGTAATTAGTAGATCACAGTACAGGTACCTTGCATCACTAAACAAAACAAAAAATCATAAATTGAAGAATATAAGAATAAAAATTCTATACTGATTAGAGTAAAAATTTACCATACCTGTAATTAATACAAATTTTGTCTCTGTCTTCAAGCCTAATGCATTTTACTTATTAAGATTTTCTTTTGTCTTTTAATAAAGTTTTATAATATTTTAACAACCTCTCAGAAATCTATTCTTTTAAAAACCTCATGTAGGATGAACAGGAAAAGTAAATTTTTTATTTCTTTTTTTCTCCAGATTTTCTGAAGCCAAGGCCCTGGGAGAAAGTATAAATGAAGCAAGAAGTAAAATTGGTAAGCAGATGATGATCTGGTCACCTCTTTCACACGCCATTTTCCTGGGGGAAACCAGGCCATGACATGCCTCCAAATAGCCATGAAGCCTAGTTTTGGGAAAGCCTGCCAAGGAAGCTGCCCTGAGAGCCTTTCACTGGAAATTTGTCATCTCCTCCATCACCCATCAGGAAAAATGTTTTCTTCTGTCTAAAACCTGAACGTCTCATCCTCCTGCAAATCTCAGCTCCAGTATCCCAATGAGATAGTTTTGCTTTTCCTTGATGTTTTTTAGCAATAGCTCAGCTAGTCATAGCCACACGATTACAGTGATGTCATTTCATACTTTCAAGTACCGTGAAACACATTTACACCTCCCAAAGCTTATACTTAGCATTTTTGGCACAGATGTGCATTTTTTCAGCACCATTCAATAAGCCCCTCGGAGGATGAGAAGCAAAACTGATCCATAGAACCTTCCCGGGTACAGACTACAGAGTGGGGCTTCTCAACTCAGGTAGCATCCCTGCAAAGATGAGGTTAAGAAAAGAGGCAAACTCAATAAAGTGGGCCTCAAATCCTTTTCATCCCATACTACAAGACACACAGAGACCCATCTTCCAGGACTGGGGTAGCTTCACGGGGTCTCTGTTCCTCTGTGCTGAAGAAGAGAGCAATTACCTGTTCACAGCTGGCTCCCTGGGACCTTCTTGTCCTCTTTTCCCTCCACCTACAAGCGAGGATGAATATGAGTATCTCCTTTAGCTTTTCCAACAGAGCATTAAAAATCATGATAGGCTTGGCCAGGCACTGTGGTTCCCATGTGTAACCCAGCATTCTGGGATACTTGAGCCTAGGAGTTTGAGACCAGCCTAGGCAACATAGCAAGACCTCATCTCTACAAAAAAGAATTGAAACATTAGCTGGGTGTGGTGGTGTGCACCTGTAGTCCCAGCTACTCAGAGGCTAAAGCAGGAGGATCACCTAACCCCAGGAGGTTGAGGCTGCAGTAAGCTATATCTGCCTAGGAGACAGAGCAAGAATTCAATGCAAAAATTTTGGAAAGGCCAGGCATGGTGGCTCACATCTATAATCTTAGCACTTTGGGAGGCTGAGGTGGGAGGATCACTTAAGACCAGGAGTTCAAGACCAGCCTGGGCAACCAGCATACCAAGACCTCATCTCTAAAACAAGCAAACAAATCTTGATGTCCTCAGGTTATCTTGGTCAGGGAAACAGGAGGCCCAAGGTCCCTCTGTGACCTGAGGCAGAAAGGGCTAAAGCTGCCAGACCCTGAGCCATGCCCAGCAACTACCCCCAGAATCCTTGTGTCTCATGGGTTCTCAACCAGATTCCAGGATCTTGGATGAGAGAGAAATGCCCCAATATTTTCACCAACCTCTAACTGAAATTTAGCACCACCTTCAATGATGAATGCAGGCAGCAGACCCCAGTAGACTGGCAGCCCCTGCCACCAGTGGAAATCACAAACACTTTTATATCACATCACAGTGTGGCCAAAAATGTAAAATATCTTTTATGCTCATCAGTACACAGTTACAGTAGTTATTAGACTCACAATTAGATCCTATTATTTAATGTATTTATATTTATATAAAAATACATAGATATTTCTATGTATATCACAAAAAGTTCTTAAATTTTAATAACTGTTTTGATATAATTTGTTTCTCTTTAAGAGTCTGTGTGTTTTACTTTATGAATCTAGAATCATTATTCCGAGAGGAGACTATAGTGTCATCAGACTGCCAGAAGATCCCTGGCACAAAAAAAAGAAAAAAATTACATACTCCTTTCTTGGCCTAGATTCCTGAATATCCTAAAACTGCATGGGAAAAAAAAAGCTGGGAGTTAGGAGTGTGTACAATTTTGTGGAGATAATATTCATAGCTTTTATCTGACTCTGAAAGGGTTCAGTGACCCAAACCCTTAAGAAGATTTAATTCTAGGCTGATGCCCCATCAAGATTGCCAGGATTTCAGGTAGGAAAGCAGACACCCTGCTAAGGGGCAGTGCAGTCTCCCAGGGACAGTAGGGTGGTGACAGCCTACCTGACTTGAGTCACCTGGAAGGAAGGGGAGGCAGGGAGGAAAGGGGAAGCAGATTTCAGTGGATTCGGAGCTGATTTGTCTGCTATCCCACAGGGAGCAGCCCACCATTATGGCATCTCAGGCACCAGGTTAGAGTTAAGGAGGTATAAGGTAGAACTTGCATACATATTCTAAATTTCCAAGGCAATTCCAAGGCAACCTGAAGGAAACTGGTTTCCGGAAATGTGTGGCATTGCTGAATGCATCTTTCCTAGGGAGAAATTGAATCAAGTGGAATTTGCAGTCCCCAAGGAGTCCTTTGGTGACTCTAGGAGTCAAGAGGCAGGAGCGTGGCATGGATATACCATGTATGCGTGGGATGGTGACTCAGTTCCACTCCCAGGCTGTGCCACATCCTGCCTCCAGACCCCAAGGCAGGATAAGGATGCCAAGGAGTGCACACGTAATTGGCCTGCAGAGAGGAAACAAAAGCCGTATTTGTGAATTACAAATTGGCCAGCCACATGTTTAAAGTTCAGACTGCCACTGTCTCCTCAGTGAATTTGTTTTTTCTCTGACATCGTGATCTACAGCTGCCTCTTGAGTCTCATTCTCAAAAATCCCTGAAGGCTGTCAGTTCAGGGGTGACCGTATAATATCTACTTTTTCCACGGCACGATCAGTCAATCAAAACTTCCACCTTATTTTCTTTACTTGTAAGAAGCCAGCCCAACTAGGTAGACTCAAACTCTTTTTTTGTCCTAAACACTATTTGCATCAATCCCGATGTAAAACAAGCTGAAATCAAAAGTGGAAGTAATAACCAACTTAGAATCTCCCAGAAAAATAATAAGAACTTTGTTTCTGGGGACAGTCATTTTCATTGTAATTCCCTGTCTCGTACATGAGAGCACTAGGCTGCTTTTCATCACATGGGTTGTGTTTAGAACACGCTTACATGCACCCTGCTTCCATCCATCATGTCTCTAGACATGCCTTTAAGCCCAAACTGAGAAAAGAAGTAGACTGCTTTAGAAGTAATGCCATGAACCAGGCATTTTTTCACTCACTAGGATTCTGGCATTAAGTTTTCGACATCGGTGTTCTGCCACTGGCAGCATTGTCTTTGGCAACAAAGGACAACGAATGACCATTCAGTGGCATAAGGCCCACTCCTGGACCAGTCCAGGAATGAACTACTTTGGAGACAGGTGAAAGAGTTTGACTGACACCTCTTGGCACCTCGTCATCCCTCCACACGCCTCTTCAGGCCCAAATGAAAACTCGCACTAAAGGTTTTCCCTAGTAAAACACTCAGCAAGTCATTAAAAAAATCATAGAAAATGTAATAGAAGAAGCTGTTAGTGAAAGACAAAGAAAAAAACAAACACTAGAAAAGCTAGCAAAACATTCTGGAAGTTTTCTTTCCCTAGTCAAAGGACACCAACCCATCATTTGACCAATACCCTTTCCAAAAATGTTTATCTTATACATCTGGAATTTGGGTTAATAGTTTCTGATAGCTGGATTCCCGTCAGCAGAATAAATAGGACAATTTTTGCTATTTGTCAGTCATGTTCTTGTTCTGTACTTAATCTTCATTTGAAGTTCTCTTTGGGACCTACTTCCTGCATGTTGGTTTCTTGTATCTTATCCTAGAGTAGGGAAAAGAGAACAGACGGGTTGTTTTGCTGGAGTATGATGACCTGGAGCAAGTATATTCTTTTGTTAATATATGTTGCCAGCTCCAAATAATAAGGACAACAACAACAACAGCCTCTACCATTGAGGCTGTTTTTATTGAGTACATACTCTGTGAGTGGGGGGTGAGAACTTGATCTGCATTATCTCACTTAAACCTCACAGGAAAGAGACATGACCTGTAAAGTGGGTTTTGCTGTATGTCATACATTCTAAGGCACATAGTTTTTCACTCTTAACACTTGTGCCATCAGGATGCATTTAACTATCCCATTTGACCTTTTTTTTCACATTTTAAAAACCCCTGAATGGAGGATTGGTCTTATGTATCATGTAGTCTTAGATTCTATGAAATATGGTATTTTTATTATTTTACAGATTTTTTTAAATGGAAGTTAAAGTGGCCAATATAGAATTAAAATCAATTTCTGTCCAACTCCAAAACGTTCAAATACTATATACTATCTCGACAAGTTCAGATTTACCTAATTTTGACATTATCTTCTGAGTTTAAATTTTCATTCAGCTGTTATTCATTTTTCCTGAATCTTTAACCTTTATCCTATAAGGTAGGCCCAACAAAAGGCTCAAACTAGACCCCAACTAGGAGCCTCTTTGAGCAGAGCCCAAGAAATTAAAAAGATCTTTGTAGCATGATTAATAACAAGTCACCTTTAAAATTTGGGGCCCAGGGTGGATGCAGGTGAGGCTAAAGCCCAGCCTGCCCTTGCCCCTCTATCCCATGTGTCTCAGCTCAGGCTTGTATCTTTCCATAGGAGGATGCATCTTTTGCTGGTTTGCAGGGCAGTGCCCTATGGGCTAGAAGCAGTCGCAGCAAGATTCAATGTTCCACACAGGTTTCAACAATCATTGTTGGTGGTTTGAGGACAGACTTGCAGGGTTGTATTTTCAAGCTCTATAGAATTCCAACTGAGTGAGTTTACTGATGCTTCAGAAAACACAAGAGAACTCAAAGCATAAACTTAGTGAGGTTTAGTAGGAATCAGTGTACTGAAGTATTTATGCATAAGTACCAAAACCAGCACCAAATAAGAACTAGAGGTTTGGTTAAAGACAGGGATAGAAGTCATCAGCAGCTGAAAAATACAAATGTGTTACCATAAAGTAAAAACCAAAACAAAACAAAAAACAATATTCTCAAAAGTAGAAAGGCAAAAGCCAAGAAGTCATCCTTTCCCTGGCCCAGCATTTCCATGCCTACGTTGCACTTCCTCAGTGACTTCCACTCTTAGAGAGATGGTTCAGAGA